TTCTGAGCAGCAAGTTATATACGCAATTTATTGTGAAAGTGGAAGGCGTTTATTACAACCCGAAGTTGAGCTGCAGTTTTACAGGGCACCAGGTATTCCTAACTATCACTATCTTGGCTGGAAACTAATGAAGAAAAATTTAATTCCAAATTTAAAAGTAAATCATTAGAAGTTTAAGTTAAAATGTTTCGGCACATTGTTTAACCTTGATTATTGAAATTTACGGTAATTTTAAGTCTGAACACTTAGATCTCTGCATTTGATATATGCATAATATTATCATATTGATTATCAAAACAAAAACTGATAAATACAGAAAACATCAAACGCATTGTAAAAGGCAAAAATCATTACTTAATCTTAAAATTCTGCCTCGTTGTGTCCTTATAAATCATTCAATAAATTACCTTTTTATGTCATACACTCTTGCTTTGTTACTAACAAATTAATTTGGATAAAGAGTGAATTTTCGGAAACATCACACACAACAAAATAACATGAAAATTGCAGACTCGGTTTCATTAAGGATAATGAGAAAAATACAACGCCACAAAAGCCCCAAAAACACCAGCTTGAGCGGTACTAAATTTTCGACACTTAAAGTGTTGACATAAATAAATGATCCTTTAGGACATGATAATTATAACAACACTGAAGTGAAATGAAATTGAGAAAATATGAATCCCTTAAGAAAGCCCAAAACGTCAAAATTGAAAATGAACGGTACTTTCAAATGCAAATTAACGTACAACCCTCTACCACCAGCTTAAGCAGAATTCAAAATTTAAACAAAAAATGGTGAAATTTTGAAATTAGAAACATCCGCAGATGTATTTATACGGCGTTTATCATGGAACCCTTTGTGCCATTCCATGAAAAGCTGCATATGGTCCCCGAATAATAGTTGCTTGTGCCGTAAAAGTAGTAAACAATTGGTGGAACTATACAAAATGGAATTTCGAAAAGGGATCAGAGGATATGAAGTCTGCATATTACAGATAAAACATCAAAAGACAAAGTTAAAAAGCAGCAAACATATTCTGAGGGTGATTCAACATTATGCAGGTAGGAATATGTGAACCAACCAAATAGAAAATGCCAAAAAAAATGAAACAAAAAATACCCAAAACACACCTAAATGTCGTGCTGATCGATTTGATTAAGCTTGCTCATGGACAATACTGTAACGCTACCGTTCACACCCCAAGAATTGGCTTAAGCAGAATCTAACATTTAAATATGAAATTGTTAAATTGTGAATTTAGAAACACACGCATATGTATCCATATGGCGTTTTATCACGGAACCTTTAATGTGATAATCCCCAACTATTCTCATGTAATAGAAAGCTTGTGCCGTTAACGACTTTAATAATAGAACCTTCCGTGCCATTCCAATAAAAGCTACATATGGTCCCCAAATAATAGAAAGCTTGAGCCGTAAACGAGAAAACAATGGGCGGAATTAAAAAAAAAATGGACTTTTGAAAAGGAATTAGAGGATATGGAGATAAAACGTCAAAAGAAAGTTAGGCAACATATTCTTACCCTAACCATGTTAGGTCAGTTGTTACGATCTATATGTAAACTTGTTATATAAAGGCGGGAACCATCAATTAAAAGATTGGATTAAGATGCATATTATGTGCTATGCACGGGTAAAATAAAATGGTAGGCATACAAGTTCGCATTTTCAAAAAGCAATTTTTAAAAGGAACACTTTACTTGTCTGGAATTTGGGCAACGAACGCCCCTCAATAATCCAAGGAGTTCCGGTATTTCCGAGTGCTCAGAGATCTAGGTACTTGATACACTTTGCTTTTGCCTGTTATTTTGGGTTGATGAGTGGCCGAGTTAATCCGGTCTGCTCAATAAGCTGGTGATGCCTCCCCGATGTAAAATATTTGTAATACTTGTGTACACTTAAATTTAATTATTCCTACCCGTTCCCAAGAAAGATAGTGGTGTAATTATTTGTTTGTTACTCACGAAAAAAATGAAAGCATTAAATAACGCTTTTCTTTAGTGGTTCAATTGCGAGGCGGATGTTGGAGTCCGATCAGGTACAGGGGACGTTGAATTGAAGCTTTCTATATTATAGCTTTTGGCTGTACAAATGAAAAGGGGTTCGAGCCGAAAGCTATAAATCTTATAAAGGTCTCCTCCTACGCATTTGTACCATGTAGTCATTTAGTTCATGACAGCATTTATAATATTGTTTGAAATAATTCGAATGAGAAAAAAAATGATTATGCTAGTGAAACAAGCTATTGTTAAAAATATTTAAAAAAAATCTAAAAATTAAAAAAAAATTTCAAAAATCTGAGACTGAAAGCATTAAAAAGACGAAATGATGGCTACTTTCCAGGAGTCCACATTCACAATTTAGTGAGGGTGACATATTTTTTTCTGAATAAGTGATGGTAAAGAGAGCTTTTTGCAGCCGTGTGTACATAATTTGCAATTTCCTTTCATCAAGGTAATAATAATTAGGGTATTTTTAGTTGCGTTAAGGAGGACACAGATATTGAGTTTTGTACTTCTCTTGAGACCGAGTTCTAATCTCTCATAGTAAATTATGCATTATAGTTAAGAGAAGTTCTTCTACGTACTATTTGAATATCAAAAGCATTTCTTAACTGAACTTGGACGTTTCTCAAACTGATGGTGGGACTTAATAGATAAATAATCTTGTGTGAGACCAGTTCTCATTTTTTAAAACAGAATAGGTTTTCGGAGGATTCCCAAAGTACTTATCTTTAAAAGAGACGAAGAGATACAAGTTAAGTTGCCCCTGAAATATTACGGGCGGCTTAAGTTAAACCATTCTACATCTGCGTTTTCATTTGGAGGTCTTATGAATGAAAGATATATAACATCAAGTGATCTTCTGTAAGTGCTTATTTAAGTTTTCTAATGATATGAACTCTTTTACAAGCAATATCTTTGATATAATTAATATGTACATGTCAAGCGCAGTCATCCGAAAAGAAAACACCAGATGTTTATAACTTTTTACTGAGGATATAGACTGCTTATGCATCAGAAGTGGCGGATGATAAGACATAGTTGTATTGCGTGACATGATCATAGTTTCCGATGTAGAATGGTTGAACATTATAAGTCATTTATTAGCCCAACTTGAAATTTTGTAGATATCAGTTTGAAGAGTTGCCGCGGCAGTTATTAAATAGTCAACAATGAGCAAACTATATAGTATCATCGGCAAAGAGATGTATGCTTGAGCTTAAATCGTCAACAATACTAAGACAACAGAGGCCCAAGAATAGATCATTGAGGAACTCCTGCATGTACAAGTGACTAATTAGACTGAGCGCCTGGAAAAGTGACACATTAACGTCTGTAAGAAAGATAATTTTATAAAAAAGATTGTTCTTCTTATCCGTCGTCGAGAGCGTTACCTTACTAAAGGTATTATGTAAATGAATAAGCGGACAGACTGTTGAATCTCCTGGTGAAAATCGAGAATGTACGGAAGAAAGAAAGTTGTTAAAACCTAAAAGGTTAAAACGTACATAAATATTATACGCTCAAGAACCTTTTAAAACAACAAAGTATAAGATATTGGTTGATAATTGTTAGGTAATAAGGGATCACATTTCTTAAAGATTGAACATACATTTGCATCTTTCCAACATTAAGGGTATAATTCTGCATTAAAGATATTGATTACATAGAGAAGAAAGAGGGAAGAACAGATGCAGTTTCTCGTAGGATTCTGTTATCAATTCCGTTTGGTCCTGAAGCTTTTTTACGTTTTAAGATCTAAGAACGTCCCTTGCGTAACTCCCTTACCTGAGACATATGATACAATAAGTCATAGAGCTGTTTACCATCATGTAACACTTTTTATGAAAAATAGACAATAATAACCAAATAAAACACTTGCTATGTAATGATATTGCATGTTATATTTTACACCTGACCATCAGGTAAGTGCACATAAACACAAGTATGAATCACAGGCAGCGCGAATTTTCCGAAAAACCACCCACCGACAGCAAACAGAGTCATACTTTATACCTACACCCAGACTTGAATAACATTTGGACATTAATGTAATGCGAATTATTGCTTTATATATCCTACCATATTTACACCACTTTTACTAGTTTCTATATTTGAAACAAGTAGTAGTAACTATTACATACCATCATGTTTAAAACTCGTAAAGAATAGTCATTAAGGGTATTCAGGGTATTTTCACCATAAGAAATACAAGTACAAATAAAAACACCTCTAGAAATGTATATTTAGGAATTTAACTTAAAAGATAAAAAGTTGAAGGGATGTGTAAGGGTTACATCTATGATTGATAATCATGTAAGATCTATGATTAATTGCGTTAACTAATAAACATGTTTAATCTTCATCAGAGTAGTATAAAAGAGTCATGGGAGGATTAGTATTTGTATATGGGGATTTATGCTTCACAAAAAAAATTTGCAAACGTCAAAAAGTGGACTTAAAGCGTGCGGTAATATTTGCAAAAATACATTTAAAAAATTTAATACTGTTTTGTGATATCATTAATTAAGCAGGTACATGTTTAGGATATGCCGTAATTGTAATCGTTCTATTCAGTTGTTTGATACCTTTATCATTTATAAATTTGTTTGAAATATACATTGTATGAATAACCTATTGTTAATATTGTTGTATTATCACGTTAATTGTTTCATTAAAACATTTGTGATTTGTGAAGACCAAACCTTTAAAAAAACAAGCAATGAGGAAAATTAATCTCACTACTTGAAAAATCAAACTTATTAATGTAACATGCAGTATAAAAACGTGTTCTCAAATTATAGCAGAATGCTAAAAAGCCTTAAATTAAATAATATTTGAGTTATCCAATACTTTCAATTATAAATAATTTCAATTCGCAAAAATCGCAAATATTTCCACGTGGCAAATTAAACCACTTATATAGGTTAAGTGTCCCCAACCAAAGTGACGGAGACATAATAACAAAGTACAAAATGACCTGTGACACCTATATACAACTGTCAATCCGGACAAATAAGAAAAGACGGGAAAACAAACTTTGAAAGTATAACTAAAAATATTTTTTCAGCCGATTTTTTAAAATCCATTGTGTTTAATTCCGACCATTGTTTTCTCGTTTTGAGCTGACAAAGTTTATTACTTGGGGACCATACAATGCTTTTCATGAAATGGCACTAGCGTGTCACATTGAAGATCCCATTATCATCGCCATATAAACTTATCTGTGGATGTTTCTAAATTCAAAATTTTACCACTAATTGTTTAACATGTTTAAATGTTGACTACTGATTTAGCCAGTGCAAGGGGACATGGGCTGTAGTTTGCACTTCCTATATCCATTAAAAAGCTCAATTATACGGAGCCTGCAACATTTTCAATTTTGCTGTTTTGGATTTTCTTTAGGGATTTTATTTTCTCTTTATTTTCTCTTATACTTTTGAGTTACTAATCGGATGAAAATCTACGTTTCGCCTGGGATTTATTGGCAGCATATGATTAACTTGACAGAATCTTTTCAACATCTAGAATAATGGTTGATTGAGCATCAAAAGGAAATATAAGACATGCAGAGAAAATATCAATACGAAATTTCTTACTAGTACAAACTACTTTGATACAAATTTCAGGAAATACTATCTTTTGTTTGAGTGTAAATTACTGTATAGATCAAACGTATTGTCCTCCTTCATTTACATGTGCTTTAGGTTTAAAATATCATAAAATGTTTATAGGAATAAAAACATATGTGTGTGTTGTAATTCAAATGCTTATTATTGCATATATGATATATATAATTAAAAATAATGGTAAGTTTTCACTCTGTCATATTTTTTCTTTTAAATATTACGAATTACTTTTGTTTTTATCACATCATATTAGCTCATCCAACTAAAATGCCTTACGAACTGATGCGCTAAAACGAATAACAATTATTGTATGTTGACAAACCCATAAAATGTTAGCAAAAAAGATGCATTGCATTGGTATATGATTACATTTACGTAATAACATTAATCATTCAAATAAAAACATAAAATGATCGACATTCATTCCATTTTCTTGAATAAAACATGTTGATATAGGTTTGAACAAATTATTTCTTATAAATTTCATTGGTGATTTGCAATAACGTTGTTATTTTTAATTTTGTTATTTACTATTTGTTTGCAGATTCTGTTTTCCCCAAAGGTGATCTTTCTCGGTCATCGTTATTCAGGGGCAGTATTGTAAGTGTTTTTCCTTACTGATATTTGAAGTTAAATTGAGACAACCAAACTAAAAAGAATACAACTTATACAGACCTAAAGATAAAAATAAACTTAAGTAAAATATTCCCTAGAATAAAGCATATAGTATGTATCTTGTTATATTGCCTTACATTAATCGCAGGTCATTCAGTTATAAATGTATCAGAGATGACCAGATATTCCATATTGTATAAATTACTGTTATTGCTCTCATTGCGGTTGATAATATCGACTGCCATAATATACTTTGTTTGGTTTTCTTTTTTATTTGCCTTTTTATTCTAGCTTTTTGTAATATCACCCCCTTTTTAACGACAAATGTGAACCTGTGAGCTCACTTTACTAATTGTGCATGCTATTGTTATCCTTACTTTATGCTATACGCTAGCCCGGCCATTTTCGATAAATAAATGCAAAAGAATAACGTAATGAGCGTCTCTATTCATGAAAAGGCAATTTGCTTAGTCTAGATGATGTTTAATAGGCAGTATGTACAGCTTTTTACCCTTTATGACCTTGTGATACATTGGCGGAAAATTGTGCAACACGTGTATTACATATGCATCACAAAACTACAAAGTAAACTCATATAATATGCATACATGCACATTGCTAACCGCTTTTCGTTTTATAGTTGCATTTGTTCATATATTAATACGTGCTTAATAGTATATTAATTAATTGATAATGTTATAAAAAACAAATATATCAGTAAACGGATTTTACGACAACACAAATACCATTTCTTTTCCAAAAAAAAAACAAATGTTCGAAAAAAGTTTTATGACAAATTTAAATATGACAAGAACACATGAATAGAACAATAAGCAATGCTTTTTGTGATACATTGTAGCTGGGTAAGTATATATAATTATCTTGATTATTATTTTACAGAATAATGTGCGTCAAAATTTATGTAAAATGAGTAAAATTTGTTTCATTTAATCACGAAAACATTTATTTTGTTAATTCATGTAAATTATGATAGGGTTTAGTACGTGTTTATATTTTACAGAGAAAAAGACATGCTGTCCATAAATAGAGCATTTTTGAATCTGATTTCCCTCAGAGATATTTTTGTTTATTGTCTTAAAGAGTAACAACGTAGCAAAGCAAGTCTTAGAGGCAAAGCAAATTAAGTCCAGCAATATCGGTATTACAGAAAATTTAAAGGAGCAAAGCAAATTTGAATGCTCTGTATTATCAGATTTTTAACAATTCAAGCATCACAGGATATCCAAAAACACAGGTTATCCAAAAGTTCAAAGAGTACATTAGTTTAGCTGTCAAAGCAAGCCCTTTCAAAATTTATGAAATAGAGAAAAACGGAATCCCTTCACACAGCTCAACACCCAGAAACTGGAAATGTTGCAGACTCGGTTTAATTGAGCATGTTTATGGACGGTCCTTGAAACGCAAGAAGAGCAATGATTATCATCAGCGGTGAAACATTACACACGTCTGATTAATATGAGTTTCCTGGACCTTCTTCTAACAAGGATTACACAAAAATGCAACATTAACTCCGACGAATGAATTGAATTGAGTGTGAGAAGGGTCTTAAACGGAAAGAGTAAGGCATATCAAACGATAGGAAGCCATGATTCTTAAAAAGGAAATGAAGACTCAAAGGAGAAGAGACGAAACGGAAAGTTTACAGCTGATAAATCAATCACGTCCTGAGGTCTTGAGGTATGTATATACGAACACGTTTATTTAAGAAGTGTGTGATTACTTGAGGTTGAAGCTGACCAGAGACGCAATATAAGTACCATGCATCATTGCCAATTCGATGAATTGATATCTCCTTATACCATAAGTAGTCCTTTTTTTAAAAAAGATGCCGGCTGTCGTTTACCATGCGTGTGCTTAAACATATGACTATTGATCTATTCATGAAAATGATTGTAATAGAAATCAAAAGCATAAAGATGATGGCATAAAATATGTTTCATTTCTTTATCATTTGAATAAATAAAAACGTTTTGCGTGATTTAATCAAATAAAGACGATAATAATAAGAAGTAAAACAAAATGAATACAATGTGTGCATTTTTCGTTTACAGTACTAGAAATAATCCCTAGGTAAGAAAGCAAAAAATTACGTCGGCTTGAATTTACTATATTACAATCATTATAAAAATAGGTTTTGGACCTATAAGAAAACGTAAGGTATAATAAATTAATAAATTAGATTTTGTAACAAAAAAGACAATTAAATTTCCTCATGACTACACATTGTTGTCCCTTTGTAAGCGCAACAGTGATATGAAGCGCAGTATTCTATGCTGCCAACAATATATAAGTCCAAATGTATATCACAAAGTTTTTGCCACTTGAAAAGTTTTGGTTGACAAACAAAATACTTATGGCTTTTGTCATATAAGATGTTTTTGAAGGAGGCTATAAGAATTGTTGATGAATGATTTAGAAAGTGCTGGTTTTCGGATGCCCACTTTATGATGATTTTAAATATTTAAATCTTTCAACGACTTGAAATTTGTCGGGTTGTATATCAAGCGCCTGCAAACATTAGACAATATATTTTACAATAAGGCACATTACTGTATTTGAAAACTCTCAGCGAACGTTGCGTTTTAAAACTGAGAAATTAGGTCGCTTCTATGATAACTTGAGGCGGCGTTGGATAGCACTGGATGTCATTTATTCAAAAATAATTTGCAATAATACAGATGAACTATTATTGTTTAAGCAGACATAAATCTATTGGAGAAAAAAATGGAACTCATGCGAATTATGAAGAAATTCTGGGTAGTTTTGATAATCCCTTGTCAAAGAGCATTTTGTTCAAAATTACTCACAATATCTAAATAAAGAGCACCAAAACATGGCAACCCTAATCATGATATCAATCAAAGTATGTGGAGGCAAATGAGTGGAAATTTGAGTCTTAAGTGTGAGACTCAAGTAGTGGACACATGGAGGAAATGGATGATAATCAAAATGATAATATTGCAAAAAACCTGTAAATTGCTCTTTAAAGAAGGACACAAACTTGCTTATTTCCAACAAGACGTGTCATTTGGCGGAAGACTGTCATTTATTAAGATGGAGCAAATAGAGTTTTCGGCACAAAGCGGCCAATATGTACACTAAGTGAATGTATTGAGCTTACAAATGATCAGATAAAAACGAAATCAGATTTTGTTCAGCTAAGACGAGAAAAGATATAGTCCTTCGGACACATTAAGGTATATCAAAATGCTTCTCAAGTACAAGTATTTGTAAGCCGGTGGACGTGAAATTTAGTCAAACGCATCAGCTTTTTAATATTTCCTTGATTCGGTTCAATATTTGCTTTTTGAGTAATTCAGATGCGTATGAAATATTTTCTTGCATTACATTTATAATACATTGCTTTTACCTCTTAATTGTTTTATACAAAAACACGCAATCATAATACACATGTATGTTTGGTTATATTTGATGCATTGTTTTCATTATAATATGATATAATAAAAGTATATCAGTGTTTGATCACAGTCCAGTTAATCATAAAACAAATGTATCGGAATTAAAACGTATTTAAGAACCGAAGCAAATCTTTAGTGATTTATCTTTAGGTAATTTATCTTTAGTCTCAAACGTAAATGAAATAAAAAAACGTGAGAAAATTTGAGTGGCAGTTAATTTAACCATTTCTATAGCAGCATTCACGACCGAAACTGTGTGCCTCATTAGTAAAAATGGATGAAGTGATATTTTTAGGCGTTAGTAGAGGAGCAATGGGAGATCCTTTACGGGCATTGTCACAGCTGAATAACCTTTACAGAGACTCTTACTATGGCTTTGACAAATTGACAAATCTGACTCTTCCAGCTCAGCAAGAAAGGGCTACAAAGTAAGGCTTGATGAAAAAACCTATCATGCATATGTAATGAAAGGCTTTGTGAATTCATATTTTTTAATAAATACGCTTTCCTTTCGCAATAAGAAAGATGAATACTTTAGTGTCAAAGTTTGTGCCAAGAATTTAAGAAATATCATCTACTTTCATTTCGCTTTGCATCATTTAAGATGATTATAACGAGTATCTTATATATTGATTATTAATGTTGACTAGTTTATTCTAACAAGAGGTAAGACATTAATATATGAAGTTAATTTCTCATCACTGCCTTAACGCATAAAGTCGGGTAAGTATTTTGATGAACATTCAACGTATCAGAAATAAAAGTCCACAGAAAAAAAGATATAATCAATAAGGTGGTAAGCATTTAATATTTTTATTTCTTACTATATATGTATAACACTAACGTGCTTCTCAATTGTGGCGTATTTCTTGCCAAATACATCAAACATTTAAGTCATACATACGGTTCTTTCTTTGAATATATGCTAGGCATCCTATATAGTATTTAATTCAGTATGCTACAACGAGCAAAGAGAAAGAGGGGAAGAAGCATATTCAAGTATCATTTTGAATTTAATAAGGTCAATGATATACGAAAGAAAAATGCTCAAACAATCTTAAATACCTTTTTCTAAGTTTCCTTTTTCATTTAGGGAAATGTAACAGCTTTACTGAAGGAGACAGGCAAATTATCAAATCACTGGATTGCGGACACAAAATCAATCCCATTCAGGCAGCGCATATCATCAGCAAACTTGTCAGATCTTGATTTAAACAAAACAAAAATAAGTCTAAAATTTCAGAAACAGGATATGACCATGAAAAAACGATTAACATTGATACGCGAAAAATGTTTATATTATATGAATGACAGATATTGGCAAAAGTTTCGGCAGAGTGGAACAGTTTTTGCCTACGAAAAAAAGCATATATATTTTTGCATGGTACCAAAAGCCGGGAATACATTCTGGAAACGTATCATGATATATATAGGGAAAGAATACCCTGAAAACATGAATATCAAACAACCCTCTGACATCGATAGACACTATGTCCATGAAAGTAAATTCAACAATCTTCAAACATGGAGTGTACAAAATCCTATTACTAGAATGTTGATGTCAAAAGGAAAATCGTTTATGTTTGCGCGTGATCCATTTTCAAGATTATGGTCAGCGTATATTGACAAGTTTCTTCTTCCAGATTTTTGGAAAGCAGACGCTGTGAGTGTTGTGATGAGACTAAGACCAAATGCGACACGCTATGAAAAAAAATGTGTGAATGATGTAACATTTTCTGAATTTCTTAAATTTATTAGTTTGACATATGTCAGAAGTATGAATATCCATTGGGAAAGATTGCATCGTGTGTGTAGCCCATGTCATGAACAATTTGATGTCATCGGTAAATTAGAGTCATTTGCCTCGGATGTCGACTATATCTTGACAAAGTTTAATTTAGATTTCCTAAAACAAAATATATCGGAATATAATAAGGTTCAGGTTGAAATAACAACACTAATTAAATACAATTTTGATTTAGAAATAAAAATTGGGCAACGATGTTTCGACAAAATTGACGTTGCTATGAGACTGTGGTTAGCTTTTCAATTCAATGGTTATATTGATAGACAAACCGTTTTTCCGAAAACCTCTTTGTTAAAGACAAGATTTTATGATAACTCAACAAAGATTTTTCAAGAACTTGTCTTGAGGACAATAGAAGACCAAAATATATTGGGAATTGATATATCTGGACAAAAACGAACAATGATGCAAGAGGCATATAGGAATATACCGAAAAATTTACTAACAGACATACTTTCAATTTATGAATATGATTTTGAATTATTTGGATATAAAAACACTTTGTTTGACGATTAGAAATATGTGCTTTAATATGATGATTAATCTCCTATAAACACTTATGCTTATTTCAAATCTCAATTCTAGATAGTACAATTAATATGATATAATACAAGTATCCATTATAGCAGAATTCTTTTCGTAAAATTGATCAGTTTGTAATCATTTTTCATTTTGTATTGTAAAATAAAATGAAGGACAAGTGTTATTTTTATCTATAAAACATTATAAATAAAAAAAATGTTGTTTCAGTACGACCTGTCTAGTTGAAATAGAAATTTCCTTTTTCCTAATTTTTCTAGTTAAAGCTTGCATCTTATTCAGATTATGTTAACATTATCTTCGATGAATATATTAAGCGTACTATTTCTTCACCATTAGTGTATGGGATAGAAATAAAAATGAAATAATTAACAATATAAATAACTTAACTCAAAATATGTAAAGAATGCTGTTTGAGACATGGCAATGTGAAACTGCAAATAAGAACATGCGTGTTAATGTTCGCACCATCACGGCTTTATTATCGTTTCATCGTGATTATAACATCGGAGTTAGACCATCAGTTCGTCGTGTTTTTATCATAATTCCATTGTGTGTGTATAATTGCGCTTTTAACACCATCGTTTCAGTGTGCATCGCGAGTCTGACGAAAAAAAAACAACACGATTTTCTAAACGAAACACCGTTTGAGACTGTTTAAAAATGAAGTACCTTGTTCCAATCTTACAATCTAGAATACACATCATAATTGAGCTAGCATTGATCGTTCGTTTTTGCTCAAATTTTACTATACATACTGCTCTGAGATTATCATATGATCGTATTTTCGACTTAAGTAAGATTTTAAAGCTGTTCTCATAAATTGTCAGTTCTATTTGTCTAAATCTAACACAAATACTTTTACATTAAGCAATTACAATAGATAGGTTTAATCGTTGCTGGAAAATAGAACACGTAAACAAGTAGCCTGTGTATGTTTGGATTGGATGAGTTATGCCAATTTGATTATGATTACACTTTAATATACAATTAAAATGTATATTTATTCATACATTAAAACTTGTATTAAGTAAAATCTGGATACCTTGGTATTTTGATTTGGTTATATTTGACAGTATTTAGCAAACACAATTTAAAATTATTTTGAATAAAATTCGTATAGTTCCGACTGCATCATTAAATAGTGATAACATGTCGCTGTTAACTGCACTCAGCTTTTTGTCAAATATCAAATTAATAAATTGATTGATTGATTTGACAAAACAGAGTACAGGTCTTTAACAATATATACTTAAATTAAACCGCTCTGTAATTGAATGTGTGCAAAAGTGCATTCACTTCAAGCACAATTGCAACGGAAATAAAATAAATATTCTCCAAGGAAAAAATGAAATGAGATAGGATTAAAAAATAATCAGGAAAAGACCACTAAACATGGACTTGTTACAATATTTAATTAAAGCGAAGGACATATAAGAATAAAGAAACAGTCAATTATCAATACTTAATAGTCTGGCATCAATGATCCAGAAGAAATAGAAACATATAATAACACTGAAGCGAAGTACGTGCCAACATTTATACCTGTCTCACAGCACTTGACACCTGATGATGTGAAGTATGAAAATCTGGAAACAAAGTAATCCCTCGGAAGTTTGAGAAAAACAAAATTACATAAAAAATGCAACGTCCCTTAAGCCTTCTAGCACCGGTTAGAGCGGTACTCAAGAGCGGTACTCAACTCTTAACACTCGATAGTGATGGTATCCTAAAAAGCATGTTCTGAAATAATTTGCATACACAATAATAGTTTTATAAATGAAATTAAATATTAATTATATGTACTAAAGATCTTTTCAAATTTTTATTTTTCAAAAATATCAAGAAAACATTTGCAAACAAAAAACGTTCCCAATTTAGTTTTGGTTGCGCTCATTGAAATTTGCCTTTTTGCCGATCTTGTTTTCCATATTTTACCAGCCAAACGAGCATATATTGTACATTAATATGATACATTTTTGATCTTTGGCACAGAAATGGAAAAGGCCTGTATAAGTAAGTCTCTCTATCTCTCCCTCTCTTCTCTTTCCCTCTCTCCTCTCTCTTTCCCTCCCTCCCTCCCTCTTTCTCTGTCTGTCTGCCTGTATATATATCGCGCTCTCTCTCTCTCTCTCTTTCTCTCTCTCTCTCACACATCAGTGTGATGTATTTGTGCCTTGTGGAGGTTTTAAAATGTGGCCCCGTACATATTATCAAAGATGTCATATTGTCTCTCCTTGAAGATCGTTTAGCACTTTATTATTTTTGTATGTTGGAAAAAATACATACATTTCATGCAATTTACGACCACAACGAAAAAGATGTGTGTTTTGTAAAGGAAAGCATTGTGGTAAATATTAAAAATCGTGACCAAAGAATGAATATAGTGAAAGAAAAAAGGCTTTGTGTTGTCTGGGAAACCACAAGATTACAGACTGTAAGTCTGAATTCAAGTGTAAAATATGCTCACTCAGACATCATACTTGTATTTGTGGAGTAGAAATAGAACCAAATCTACAGGTAAGTATACTGTTATCAGCAATGTGAAAAAAGAACCCCACTTCGGTATTACATTCTGCTAAGTCTACAACATCATGTCCCGTGTTATTAAAGACAGCAGTTTCCATGGTTACCTCAAAAAGTACCTACATTTCTGCCAACATCCTATTTGATGAAGGTTCCCAGAGTCAATTATACGTAAGAGAACTCTTAGTCCGAAAATAAAAATACAGTATATTTAGAAACACCAAAAGAAAATATTCCTGTCAAAGTTTATATATTTCCTGAAATGTCTATGCAACTGCAATCTTATCACAAGCATGCTGGTCACCTAACTTACCTGAAAGGGCTCTAACCCGCACATCCGGTCTCAGCAGGTGAAATTTTTTAGGTCGAGATTCTTATTGGAGCTGATCATTACTGGTACGTTATACAAGTTATTAGAGGAGACGGGCCTTTAGCTATACAATCTTAAGTCGGATACCTTCTATCAAGACCATTAAAACAAATACTCTTATACATTCTACGTCGGTTCTTGTATCCATGATGAGCGTTATAATAATGAAAACACAAGATGTTTTAAATTTAGAGAAACTTTGGGAGATAGAGTCCATTGACTTTGGACAGAAGCCAAATCAACATTTAAACTGTGAGAAAACAAGCGGGTATCAGCACAATTGTATTACTTACAGTAATTGACAATACATTGCCGTATTACAATGGAAAGATGTCCATCTCTTTCTATCAAGTAACGAGATCATAAGCCGACGCTGAACTATGACTGTTATAAAAGATTGAAAAAGAGATCCAGAGCTTCTACAGAAATATTAAGATATAATGATCGAGCAGGGACAGATTTTAGGGAAGGTTGCAGAGCCATTATCTCCTAGTATAGACGACACATTACTCCTGATCCCATTGATACCACGACCAAAAGTACACTACTTTTCCCATCATCGTGTCAGAAAAGACTCGGCAACCACACCCAAACATTGTGTTTTTGATTTCAAGTGCAGTTCATCTAACAATGCTAAATTATTGTCTGATAAATATACCACCAGAGGTTAACGCGTTGACTTCAATATTACTGCGTTTCAGTTCAAATTTGCCGTCTACATTGATATTGAGAAAACATTCTAAAACTTCAGTCTACATCACACGTTTGTTTTTGCTATCAGATCCAATTAATCCAGATAGTTCTTTTCAAATATACCGTTTTAAGTCAGTGCTTTTTGAAGCAACGTGCTCACCATTCATTCCGAACGCAGTTATTATGAAACAATTAGATTTAAATCAATGTAACATTACAGACCGAAGAAAGGAAGCGTTATATCTGGACAATTTACGTACAATCATACCAGATGAAAATTCACGGTTGGATTTCAGCAAATACAGCAGACACCTGTTCCAGCAAGCAGGCTTTAATTTGAGATCCTGGAGTTCAAACAACCCAAACTGACGTTAAATTATGCAGTTTGATGAAGTTGCCGACACTGATACAGTCACAAAGGTCTTGCGAATGCGTTGAGATCCTTTAGCCGATAAAATGTCGTTCTCCCCCAAAGATTTCAAACCAAAGTAATGACTTTTTATTAACTAACAGGGGGATTTTGAAAGAGTCGTCATCAATCTTTGATCCGTTAGGATTGCTCTGTCTAATTACTTTTAAAGGAAAAATGTTGATACATTTGCTATGGAAACAAAACTTTGACTGGGATGATGTTCTACCCGAATAAATAATCATGGAAAGGATAAAGATAAATGAAGATTTAGTTAAGGCCACCGAAATAAAATTCAGCCGACAATATTTCCCCAAAATCTACGCACAAAGATGAAAACCTGCATATTTCCGCCGATTCAAGCATTTAAGCGTATGGAACATACGCATATCTCGCTTCCGGTAACGAAAGTATACTTACTATGGCAAAGAATAAAGTATCCCCTTTTAAGCAGCTTACAGTTCTTAAGCTGAAACTGTGTGCAGCACTTCTTGCAGCAAGACTTTGTCGACATATAACGTCAGTTATTGATTGTAAAAGTGTATATCTATGGAGAGATAGTCAAATCGTTTTGAGTTGATTTCTACAGCCAAGAAACTAGCAATTGTTGTTTCAAATCGTGTGAAGGAAATACAAGAGATGATTTATTGTTTCCAATAGCAGTATTGCCAAATTCATGACAACCCTGCAGACCGTTTATAAAAAGGAATTATCTTCAAGAAATTTCAAAATAATTAATGTTGGATGCATGGGCCTAAATGACTTATATATAAGAGAGCATTTCCAAGGAACTTCTACCAGTGTAGTGTATTGAATATTACAATCATCAATGTGAAATAACCTTCCTGACAGCCTCAAGAACTGATAAAAAACAACAAATATTATAGAAACTCCAGACTTTCAGAGATATAATTTATATATGAAACCATTACTTGTTACGGCCTTAGTCAATCGATTTGTTAAGAATGGCAGACGTTCAGAGAAAACACGTAGACATTAAGATACACATAGGGATGGATTTAACAGCCACACAATAAATAATACACGTGCAACGACAAACTTTCTCAGAAGAAATAAAGTACCTAACAAATCTAGCAGATCACGTAGACCAATATACCAGATATAGTAACACAGCTAGATCTTATCATGAATGACGACAAACTAATGCGGCGGTAGATTACATAATGCACC